GGGGGGGAATCACGGGGTCCGAATCGCTGCGACAGACCACTCCAGGGGTGGGGGGCCGCGACTGCGCAGCAGACTTCTTAAGGACATGAGGGAACCTGAAAGCACATGGAGACAGAGTCAGAGTTAACAGCCTGCAGCATGTCGGAAAAACAGAAGCAGCTAATGGCAGGAAATCAGCCTGCGAGCAGAACAAGCTCTGCAAGCCACACTATGAGCTGAACGCTAACGAAGCGAGCTGCCGCATGTATGAGGCTCACCAGCACTCACACGCCATGAAGCCCTTCGAGCCGACGATGTGACTGGGAAATAAACGAAAGTCACAGAGGCGGGGGGGAGGGGTGGGGCGGGGGTTGTCACTGTGCCGTACAGGCATGGCTCTGTGCCAGAGCCGATCGTCACGCTGCCTCACCACAACTTCCAGCTAGCGGCCCCGCATCACGGCCGAACCCGCCTCCCTGATGGAGGAGGAGGGGGGGAACAAAAAAAAAAAACACAAAAAAAACGGATACATTTTAAAACAGCCCGGGTGCCGCCAACAAGATTTCATGGAGGGGGAAACCCCGACACAGTACACCACGTTATCTGAAAAACGCTGACGTAACCCTCTGGGCCCCACACGCCCTATGCAGGAAAAACAGGAAGTGCCGGCGGTGGCGGCGGCAGTGAGGGCTGCTCTGCGCCGTCTGTGCCAGACTCCGCTCTGCCTGTAATGCCGCTCTCAGCCTCTAGGGGCAGCATCTCACGAGCCTGTGAGTCACCCCGTACTGGGCAGGGCTGTCTGTCGTGTGACTGCGCCGGAATACTGACCCATGCTGCCTCCTCCTCCCCCTCCCCCCCGCCCCATTGCCTGCGGGCATCCGCCGTGCCGGTCCTGTCGCTGAGCCGGCTGCACACAACATGCCGGTTTGGTTCAGGGCTAACAGTGCACACAAAGACGGATCAAATTTATAACATATAAAAGAGCTCTCTGTCATGGCGCAGAGGCTATGGCATTTTACATAAGGGGGAGGATGACCTAATATGATTGGCACTCAAAATCTAAAATGTCGCACAAAAATGCATCTATAAATAATGCAAGTAGCATATTTGCTTTAAGGTGCTTGGGGCCTTGCTTTCGATCTTCATGCATTTTCATGGAAAATATCAACTTACGTAAGTCTTTCTTAATCTGGTCACACACGTGCTATTTACTGTCCAGGCAATTCAAATGTAAATTTCTATGAATTCATCTTTAGTTCGCATGTGGCTCATCCACTAAACTTGAATTTCTTCTCAAGTCTGCAAAGCAATATTATTTTTGTCGCTCAAACAGCACAGCCGTTGCCATTAAATTCACATACAAAACTACTCAGAAACACTTCCTTGCATTCCTTCCTCCGGTTTGAATGACGTCCTGAACAACAGTGCAACCCCAGGATTCATTAGCTTAAGAGATTACTTCAAGATTCACAGCAGGTTGTGTAGAGTCTCCGACATGTTTGTCAAGTTATTTTTAGGCAGCTGGGGTCAAACGTTACATGGAGGACGGCACAGGCTCCTGAAAACCACAGACATCTTGCTGGAACGCGACCACGGAAATGGCTGAGACTCGCACGACAGTGAGCATCTTTAGTTTGATGGTCTGTATCTGCCCCGCGGAGCAGCTGAAGCCCTTGGGAAGCTGCCCCAGGAAGAAATAAGAACACGGGGGTTGTTTTGACGTCTATGGCTTGTGTGGGGGTCCACGTTCAATAGCATCAGCCGACTGCCCACACCCAAAGCTTCGGCGGTAACTTAACACGCTACATATGGTCAGGTAACAGTGGTAAAGGTGTGTTCAGGGGATGGCAGACTGTATAGCTCACTGCAGTCTAGGTGAGGGGGGAGCACATGTCAAGTTTCCACACCCACGCACTCTGCTCTTCCCCTCCCCCCTCCTTCCCTCCCTGCCTCCCTCGACAGGCTGACTCCTGTCTAACACAGACCTGCTAGTCACGTACACACAAAAAACATTACACAGAAGCATGCACTGCGACTTTACTCAAGGATTAATACATATAAAAGGTGCACAGTCCCTTCAACCAGACTGTTCTAATAACAATGCTTGCGCAGACACACAGATTGAACTACTAAGAGTATTTCATTAATTTGTGCTCCTTATTAAATGTAAGAGCTTACCATACCGCAACAGAAAAGCACAGAATAACGCAACACACAATGCTGCAACGTGTTATGTTTCAGATCAAAAAATGAGATCATAAAGGTGCATTAGTATACACTAATCTGTGCCAAAGGTATTTGGAAAAAACTAAATATTTTTTCTCCTCCCAACAAAATTAGACTGTCAAATTAGACATTGCACTAAAACCAGAAAAAGCAATCAGAATCAAAAGCGCAAAGTATGGGGGGGGGGAATGAGAATTTTAGAAAGGTGTTTATCCAGGTAGAATTCTCTCTCAGAGCATAAAAGCAAACTAGCCATGTTTATTTAGACAGATCTACCGGTATTCATGAGTTACAAGATGTGTTTTTTTTCAGGCAGGCTAAGAGAGAACGGAGGGGTGGATTCCAAAAGAATCGACTCTCCCTCTCCCACCCCCCCACCCCCGACCTCACAGCCCTGCAAAACTGGCTCAGATTACCAGCAGGCTCACACTGCCTCCACTCCTGTAGTAAGAGAGGCCATTTTGCGAGGGATGAGACACGCGGAGGACAGGAAAATCCCGCCTGCCCCCCCCCTACACCAAGATGCTGGAGGCCGCCTGCTGCCATCCGGGGGAGGAAACGTAGCCGTGTGTGATAAAGAATTTGACTCCTTTTAATGGCTTAAATTATTCATATCCGCCACGCTTCCTCCTGACACAACCTGTACGACGGCCATGGAGAGAGAGGACAGGGAGCCGCCCTGGGAGGCAACAACTGGCTGTATGTAACTCGCCAGTCATCTAAAGTAAATAAATATAAATAGCACAAGGCTTACCCCCACCCCCAAAACACCCACCCAGCCTCTGCCTTCTAAAAGGCTTGGCAGCTGCGGGAGGCCAGGTGAGAAAAAAAAAAAGTGTGTGTGTGTGTGTGTGGGGGGGGGGGGGGGGGGGGGGGGGGGGGATGTTGGGGGCATTTCCACCCCTGTGCCAGTAGGAAAGAGGTGATCTGAATGAAGCACCGAGTCAATGCAATGGGGGTTGGGGGGGGGGGGGTCACCCAACAGGGCTAGCTTGGCCTCCTAGGGTCAGCGAGGTCTTAGTTCCACCCCCGCAGCTCCGCGCATGACCGCCACGTCGCCCGGCGGCAGAGTGATGAGGTCACTCTTACAAAGCGTCAGATTCGACGGAACGCAGGGTGAGACAGATCTTTTCCCCTCCTTGCCCTCCGATCTGACAGTGGCGAGACTATTAGAGAAGTCCTGCATTATGTAATGACATTTAAATATTACAGAAAAAGGAGTGAATTTGAATGCTCTGCTGCAAAGATGGCTGCCGCACCATCGATAAAAATGAATCACTACATGTATGTGTTTTTAAGCTATACTCTTATCTGCTTTCATTTCAGATACTGCGACATAGATCGTAAAAAGCTTCAGCATTCAAACACCTGTGTACATGCATATCATGGATCATCACACAGTGTCCAATAAAACGAATTCAACATGAAGGCTCAGCCTAAGGGCCGAACCAAGGCAGGCCAGCAATCACGCCCAGTGTCTCTGCTAATCACAGGGCTGACGGCAGAGAGCAATAAAGGAAAATTCCACTGAGAGCCAGAGTACCTACAATAAACACAGATATTAATGAGAACCTGATCTTGGGCAATCTGCTCCAATAATCTACATATGTGTGTTAATAAATATATGCGCATACAGTGCATATAAATGAATGCGATGAAAAACAAGAATTTTCATTATGTGACTATATAACTACATAACAACCAGCTGAAATGTAAGTAGAGCATATTCATCGCAAGGGCAGCGCACAACAGCAGCGCCTTCAACTCTGGCGGGGGGGGGGTTGGCGCACGAGAGCTACGTGCAGCTCCATTCCCGTTGTCACGCGGACCTCGATGGACTGCCAGCAACATAGAATAGAGGGAGAGAGAGAGAAAGAGAGAAAGAGAGAGAGAGAGAGAGAGATCTCACAGAATAGAGGCAAACCTAATAAGGGAGTTTGCAGCCTCCGGAAGAAGCAGCAGATCAGAGCAGGCAGGGCACATGGGGGGGCCCCAAGGCTGGAGCGTACAGGACCACACGCCTGCACAGACACAGGTGAGGGGGGGCAAGACCCAAAGGTATGCTGCAGGGCACCGGATGGCAACCAAGAAACATGCACCTCCACAGCCCCAAACTAGCAAACGGCTCGTCTCTAACAGAACGGATTCTACCATTATCACAAGCTTTGCAGGGGGGAGGTTAAGAGGAATAAAACACGACGGTGTGAACGCCATTTCAGCAAAGCCTCGGCGAGATACGCTGCTTTCAGCCAGAAACGTTAGCCGGTCATTCTTTCGGCCATTATGCTGCTTCCTTGAAGCACAGACAGGAAGAGCTATCCACTGCATGTGTGAGAGAAACACAGGCAAAGTGCTCCTCCTTATTTTGGTGTGAGTGGTGTCTCCCGGGGGGTGGGGGGAACGTGTAGGAGGCTCACTGCAGTGGGAGGGGAGGGAAAAAAAAAAAAAAAAACATCCATCAAATCGGCTGCAGCTGCTTGAAAGGCTGCCGATCTCATCTCCTCCCTGACCGGCATGTAAGCCCTCAACATTTTCATGAAGGTAAATAAAAATCGCTTTTTTGGAGGAAGAAAAAATAAATAAAAAAGATCAATAGCTGTTGAGGTATTAAGCCAGGGCGGTGTCCTCGCTTTGACTGGGGCACCCCGGTAATACTTCAGGTGTTGCTAAATGGAGCGAAGGTCAGCTGCTCTATGGATCTGGCTCGACCTGAAGCAGTTGTGTAAGCAGCGGTGCAGCACATTTCCAAGGCCG